GGACTAAAAGATTGAATCTGATCGTGACGAGAGACACAGAACGAGAGTGTAGGTGTTTGACAAGGACCATAAGATATCACGCTAGAGTCCAGGTTTCCATATTTCCCCTGAAAAAACCTAGTCTGAAATCTTGTGAACGCGCAACCAATCTAATTAATCATAACAGATAATTATTGATTTAAGCACTCAGTCCAAATTATGAAAAAGAAAATTTGGGTCGTTCCTACCTTTAGATCTAACTCTTGACGAGCATCAACCGCTAAAAATACAATGTGTCAAGGAAGTATCAAAGCTTTTTTTTTTTTCTGAACGATCAATAACTAACCTAATGACTCATTCTTATTTGGATATACCAGATTGTTCATAGCTTTACGAATGTCAATTGCCGTGATAGCTAGCGATGCATGAATTTGTTAATTTACGCATATTTTAATTATTTCAATAAGAGAAAAAAACAAACCAGAAAACTTTGCACGTAAAATTCGACTATCTTCCGATTGTCCAGGAATTTTTTTCATTCGATCGCGCACATTGTCGATAACTTCAAAACAGATATTTTCTCCCTCACGATCACAATCCAACCAAAGCACAACGTAATCAACGCCTAAATAATTATAAAACGTGTTCACACTAATGGGACAACTTGAGGAATGATCTCATTAACCTACTCTTTGATTCTTGTTGAAGGTGTTTGCAAATGTTTGTCTAAATGTTAATGTAAGATGCCATAAATTGTCAAAGTCACTCAATTCTAAGGCTTATTGAAATCAAGCTTAATAATACCTTTGAAGCTTCTTTTCTTAAAGTTGGCGCATCAAATAATAGTATCGGATCAATGTCCCAATTGTTATGCTTTTGTGTAAAGTCTAAGCTATAAATTTTTGATAATAAATAAATAAATGGTTTGATATTGATCCCACAAATAAGTATTCTTTCAATGCCCACCCGTACACATGCCCTACATATAATACAGTTCAAATCAATATCTAATTAATCATGATAATCATGATAATCATGCAAACTAAGATTATTCGGATTTTTTTCTTCGAACATACCTGTTACAGAAGTAAATCTGAATTTACTAGGAGATCCACGAAATTCGGCATTGTATTCATGAACCGGGGTGATCGATTTACGAGTGTGAAACTATTGACGAATGTACAAAAAAATTTACTTAGATTCTTATACATACAGAATTCATCATTCCGATAAATTGTGATCCCTAAGAATTTCTGATGAAACAATACCTGGCCATTTGGTGCTAAAATTTTCGTTATGGCCTCGGCGAGCGAAGGCTTCTCGGCGACCTATGTTCCTCAAACGTTAATTACCAACGAACCATTGAATGTGATACTGAAATAGATAAAAGAATGTTTGCACAAATGCATTCACGAACCATCAGTACGGTGCATGACATGATTCCGCTCGAGTACATACGAATTGCGAAATAACTTCCGTATTTATAGGGAAATTAACCAATGATTGTCACTGCATTAATAATCACGTGAATTACAAGAAGTTAGCATACACGTACTTTAGAAAGAATTAAAAAAATATTATTTAAGGAAAGAAACCAATCTACGTATCTCAAACACACATTGTTGATTTATAAAGTTTTAAAGATAAATTTATTTAAAATATATGATTATATCAAGAAAATTATACAAATTATTGTTAAAATTATCGATAAAGAAAAAAAGGCACCACACTTGGAGCTCGTAAAAATAAGAAACGATTGTTTTTTTTAAAAAAAGGTTCTATTTAGCATATTCTGATGGTTTGTCCGGTCATGGGTTATAAATGATAGTAATAAATAGATTTTTTTTCCAATTATGTCATATAAGGGTAATTTCATAACACGTTTACTTTGATTATGACCTCATTATCAAACATTACTTCATACATCTTGTGATTAAATAATGTTTAAATGGCAAAACCTCCTATCCGTATACTTCAAACATGGCCTTCAAACACTCCACTCGCGTATTACGACGGACACATCCGCACACTCCATTCATGGACACTATGAATAATTTTCCCACAACTTCGGAAATCCTGAGTATTATTCATGATGGGCAAAGGAATGATCATACAATCACCGAGAGCATTGGTGGGCTTAAATTTTTTGTGTATTAACAAAATACGACAGAAAATTTTACTTTTATTAATAGTCAAAGAACAGGATGAAATTGAAAGGTCCTCACCTTCCAATGGTGAAACCATGGATCAATCTTATTCACACTCTCCAACTACTCAACAGGCATTTAATGCTGCCAACGATCGAAAAAAAACTAGTGATAGTCATTTCAAAACTCGAGGTAAAATTCTCGTTCGCCTTGACACACTTAATTTCTTAGTAACAAATTTATTCATTATTAGGCGTTAGTACTACAAGCAGTGGATTAGGAGGAATCGGGAAAATCCCCAGTAATTCAAATACATTCAATGGTACTGATCTTTCCTATGGATCGATCGATAAGATTAAATAGAAGATGCACATCAGCTTCTACAGCGGTAAATTTATGATTAGCAAAGAATACATCTTTGAATCGGAAACCCGATTGAATGCATACACTTCCTCTTTCTATACAAAGGAATGAGCATGATCTTTGACATTTCCTATAAACAAAACTACGCCTGAATCGTTTATACACAAGCTATAACAAAGTATGGGTGGATCACTATAATGTTATAGAATTTTTTTTCACCTGCTATATTCATAAAAGCATAACATAAAAGATCCATTATTGAATGCAAAAATTGCAATTATTTCAAATAGGAAATCTCCTGCAAATCTTTCATTCATTGACATTGTTTCCTTTATTTTGTTCTGATTCTTGTAGTTGTTTGGCCTCCCATTCATCCCATATATCCTTATGATCTAACCATCTTTCTTGAACATCCATTATA